GCTACATGAGTTTTAAAATATCGGCATATCGGATATCGGCCAAAATCCCAATATCGTGCATCCCTAATAATAACGTAATAATGACAAATAATGTAGAGTAGGGCCTGGACAAATCCATTTCATAACACTAAAGCGGGGTTCACACCGTTTGCACTGACTGTAGAGCATAGAGAGCTTCTATGCAGGGTGAGCAGATCCCGATCTGTGCAGATTTTTTTTTTCCTTCTGTCCCAGTTCCCGTCAAATTTAAACAATATCCCACATTTGACTGGGTCAGATCATGGAAACTTTTATTAAAAAGAAAATAATAAATATATCAGCCGACGAGGCTACAAAGCAAGGCCTTAAGCTATGACGAGCTTTAGTATGCTCCAACTAATGCAGATGTCGGATTTTATTATATAAAAAAAGGGAATTATGTTTAAAGAAAAGGAAAATGCAGCATTAACAGCTGCGGGATGGTTTAAATATGTAGGCTACTACGATTCTCAAAGAGCAATCTGTGAAGTTTGTTGAAGTTTTTGTTTTTTTCCACAAAGAGGAAAAAGTGATAGGCTGTGCTTTTCTTTTTTTTCCCCTCATTGTTGTGTTTTGTTTTAAATTCAAAGAGGATCATTGTTTTACTTTATTCGTTTTCTGTCCCTATGAACTCCTATAATTGGTATCTATTCTGTTTATTAAAATATTTAATTGATCGTCTGCCCCACCTACCATATCAGCCCTGTGATTCCAAACATGGAAAACGTGAATGATTTCTCCTGCGACAGAGGGTTTATTTAGTATTTCCGTAAAGCAAATCTGTTTTACTTTGCAACCGCATTTCCCATCAGAAACGGAATTGTTTTCTCCTCCTTATCCGTCCTCTAGAGTCTAGACTACCGTTTAGGCCACTCAAAGAGCTCACTACGCTTTTGAGTGCAATGCAATGCTACACATCACTGTTTCCTTAGAAATAACAGCAGACATGATTTGATAAAACAAAAGCACTGTTTTTTCTAGCTTCCGAGCAATGTCCCAGTGATACGTCATTGGTTTTGTGGCTGCAGCCAAAGCATTTGGTATCTAAGGAGTTTCCTATGGCACACTCTTGGATTTGGCTGAATGATGTTTTTGCCATTGACAATAACTGTCCAGTCCTCACCATGAAAAAATTAAAGCTCTATTTCTCTTATTAACTCTTCAGCCCACCTTTGAGTAATGCATTCTAAATCTATAAATGTTGATAAAACATTTGATCTACTGCATGTAGTGTGAAGATCACTTCTTCTCTTTTAAGTTTAAGGTTAGTGAAGTATCTATTTTTATTTCTGAGGGCTCACCTCGACAGCAGTGACCTTACGCGGGTCGAATCCATCACACACCAGCATGACCAGGGAGTCCCCGACAGCACGAAGGACTCTCACTGCCTCTGTGTGGGTCATTCCCAGCAAGCTGTGGTTGTTCACCTCCAGGATACGCATGCCGACCTGCAGCCTTCCATCCCTGGCCGCTGCTCCAGTCGAACTCACCTGAAAAGAACAAAGTCACAGCATTATGTTTCCAAAACTGGCTGATTACTCAAAAACACCAGAATATGGTTTGACTTTTGATAAGTTACGGACAAAAAGGTTTTCTAACTTTTGAGATAAAGATGCCCTCATCTGTGGGGTCGAAGGGGTTTCCAGCATGACCTTTTGCTCCTCCACGAATGCTGATGCCAAGCTTCTCCCCTGACTGTTTCTGGATCAAAACCTCCTGCATCCCAGGTGGGGAAGGATCCCTCCGAACCAACATGCGGATCTCCTGTTTGTTGGCCAGGAGGGCCCGCACCGCTTCCTGGTGCGTGGCATGTCGCAGGTCGATGGAGTTAACCTCTAATATGCGGTCGCCGACTCGAAGGCCACTTTTACAAGCCAAACCGTGAGGAATCACCTGATGGATCAAGGAGCAGATGATAAGAGCACAACACAACTTACTAGAAGAACAAAATCCTTGAGTGAATAAAGTGTCATTACCTTAGAGATGAAGACCCCAGGTTCATTGATGCCAAAGGGGTGACTGGCATGGTCACTGCCTCCAACGATGCTCAGTCCAAGAGGGCCGCCTGACTTCACTAAGGTCACCTCCTGTTTGAATCAGAAGGAACAGCAGGAATTTTAAGGTATAAATAAAGTTTAAATTTGAGCACATAAGCAAAAATAAAAGTAAGGTATATCATGAAAACAAGACATCTCAGCAGGCGATAAACACACTCCTTTCATCACAGCAAGCCATCATACCATGCACCATCTTCTCTGCAGCTGAACAGCATAGGGAGTGAGGTGGAGACCAAAACATCACCCATCAATCAGGCTTCTGCAGCACAGCTCATCAAAAACCTCTAGAAAAATGAAGACTTCTCACCTCAATTGGATACTCGTCGTCAATCTTTCCCACGTTCCCTTGAAGGCCTTCCTCATCTTGGTCAGGAGAGGCTGAGGGCTCCGGGGGTGGAGGGGAGTGGGCTCGTGCCCGGTTTTGACCTGGAGAGCCTCCCGGTGCGCTTGGGTCTCTCTCTACCAGCAGTGTGATGGTGGGGGAGGTGCCGGTAAGGAGCGTTACTGCCTGGTCATGCCTGGCTTCTGTCATGTCTACACCATTGATCTGGATCGACAGTGAAACCAACCATGGAGGAGGAGTGAGCCCACCACGATTTTCCCAGTAATCATTTAAGGCTAACAGAAGGAATATTTACAAACCGCTGCTGTCAATAGATTCTGCATATTACAATTCATTAGAAGAAACTAGATCTTGAGGCCCATGGAGGAGCTGCAGCGTTCCACAGCTCAGATAAAAGACTAAACTCACAGGACAGCTGTTAGCTTTGGACTCAATAATTCCCTTTTCCATTTCATTGTGAAAAGTACAAGAAAAAAAAATAAACCATGAGGTTCAGTTTGCAGTTTAGGTTGGCAAACAGGTAGGAGTAGAGCCCGACCCATTAATCTGTGGGCCAATTAATCCCCCGCAAACACACGCTCAAAGCTGCTGTTAGCGCAAGCACAGAATTAAATATTGGAGCAGACGAAGAAGGAGAAAGTGAGCAGTTTACTCCATGGAAAGCTGTGATTTTGCCAAACTACACTTTAGTGTTGCATGACAACAGACGTCCTTTGGGAAAGGAGGCATTAAGGAGAGCTGACGAGTTTCTTATGCGCTAGTTTTGGCAAACATATTCGATTTTAGCTCTCTAAGTTTAGATCTTTGTGAAATAAACAATTTGAAAAGGAAAAAAAAGATTCTTACATTGTGTCCCACAAAACTTTACACTGACATGCAGGTTGTACTGAGCTCATAAATTATTTAATAAATGTTTTCATTAAATACATTTTTAAATGGCTCTAACTTATGTACACCTCCTATTAGCCTGCGTGTTTTCACTTTATGCTGTATGCAGCAACTTGTTTTCTTTTTTGAAGGTCCATGTGTAGAACTAAAACGTAATTAGTAAAATACACTAAATTATTAAATGTATACATATATTTATTTCACAGTCAGGTGTGAAGCCACTTCATGAAGGATGCAACAGCTGTTGGATGCAGAATCTGCAGGGTTAAAGTTAGTCAGGGCTCCAGCCCTGTAAAGCAAAAAAACACCACAGATTTGAGGCAAAATCTAAATCTCGAACATTGATTCCATTTACAGTCTTATGGTAACTGCTCAAATTAAAGTTGCTTATGTTAGTTCTATAGTTCTATTTTTTGGTCTCGAATCATATTTTTGGTTATTATGAGAATTGTAGTAGAACTATGCTTGGGCAGTGCCTATCCTGTGTATTTGCATGTTAATGATTTTTTCGTTTATATTATCGGCCAATATAGGATATTGTTTTTTTTTGTTCGTTTGTTTTTAAAGCCCCTAATATCAGGCGCAGCTCAGTGCTCAGCAAGGGAGGGGCAGAGGAGCAGAATCAGCTCCACAGAAGTTTCTTTTTGAGGATTGCAGCAGAAAATGACTTCTTAAATGGGTCCCCTTTTGGCCGATGTTGATTTATGAGCCAGACGCTGACATAGAGCCCGATCGATTCATCGGCCAGGATCTATTTTCAATATAACAACTTTTTGCCTTTGTTTACTTAAGATGAGTGGAAAACTTGAGTTCTCACCAAAGTAACAGTTCTTAAGTCAATAAAGGCAATTAAATTACTGTTTTATTCTTTTTGTTTATAAGATTGCCCTTGTTGACAGCTCAGTGTTAAAAACTGCACAGTGCTCCATCCTGACAAGCAGAGGTCAGCACTGACCCGACAGTAACGGCCCTTACCGCTAGCTGAAAAACTCAGCTGCTGTGGAAGCATTCATCTATCACAGCAGCAGAGCAACACCACACCCACCACCAAGCAGGCACGGAGACTCGCTCAGCGTTAGTGAGCATGCAGAGGGACGGAGGGTAAAAACAGAAGACAACAAAGGAGAGGGAAGGGGGAATAACTGCCAGAGAGAAAGTAAAACACATCCAAGGCTGCATGACTTAAAGGAGACACTTCAGAACAGAGCAGCAGCAGTGCATTCATCACCCATATAGACGACAAATAAAGATAAGAAGACAAAGAAGCAAACTTCAAAATGTGATTGGAGGGGGAAAAAAATACAAAGACATGCAGGAGGCCATAAGCTGTTGATTTAACACCTTGAATATTCATTGACTCCTCCAAAACTGTCAATTCTCTCAAATTAGGGATGCTAATGGCATTCTATATTAGTTCTGCTTAAAAGCATTTTGACAAAGATCCCAAAGTGTTAGAGGGCTAACACTGTTTCAGGAGGTGTAACCGGTGTGCTGTCCCACTAAGTCTCTCTATCCTAGGGAAGAAAATTCACCAGCATTGCGTACTGATGGTGATCAGAATGGCTGATGTTGTCTGTGTGTGGCCTCCCTACCTTTGCAGGGTGCCCCATGGCAGCGGTGGCTACAGCGTAGCTTACCAGCATCAACATAGATTAATTCTTAAATGCAGTTTAAAGTGCTTTAGGGTTATTAGACTTGATATAGCACTCTATATACTATGTACTGGCCATCAGCCAAACTAAAACATTAGTTTAAACACAAAAAAGAACAGAAGGAAACATTTTACTGTTGTTCCATAGATATAATCTATTGCAAATCTAGTTTAATAAAATTCCAAGATTTTCAAGGTTATTAATACATATATTTTCTTGACCTTTATAACAATTAGTCTTTGCTTTAAAATAGTCAAATGGAGCTTGACAGAACTGCTCTCAAACCCACAGTGTGAGACGGACCCTGCTTAAAACTATGCATTTAATTTACTGTTTAAGGACTGGAAGCTGCTAAAAATGGTTCTGCATCTTAAAGCTTCAAATAAATGGAAATCAGAGTTTAAAATGAAATATCAGATCAGTGCAGCACTGAGAAATAAATCAAAGTTTAATGTTAAAATGGTTGTACTCACGGAGAGAACCCTGTCTCCGACACGCAGCGTGCTGTCTCTGTGTGCGGCTCCTCCCTCGGCGATTCTAGAAATGTAGATGCCCTGCAAACCAACACATGGTCACTAATTTCAAAAATTTCTTTTCATCTCTTATCTAAAAATATGCTTTATGAACCCTTGTGCATAATTTTGACCAAAAGCAAAATAACAAAGATGCTGGTCATGACTTGTAGGAAACGTAAAATGTTTGGCTTAAAAGACTAAACTTTGATTACAAAAATGGGAGGATGTAAAAACAAGATTCTATCAAGATCTGTTGTCATGTCTCTTGGTTATTTAATACATATAGGTTATGAAGTGTTATTTAAAGAGTCTCCGAGTGATCTCTCTTCAGGGAAAAGAATCGGAGAGATAGAGCATCAGGGTGCATACACAGAGCCTTTCCTATCTTTAACACCTGGAATTTAAATAGTTCTTATATAATCCTGTTAGTTACTATAAAAAAAGGTCCAGATTAAGTCCAATAAAAGCACATTTAATTACCAAAACCATTTAATCTAGAAGTCTTCAACAGGCGGGGTCCACAGAGATACTGCATGGGGCTCGCAAAAGTTTTGGTTGATTAGAGCAATTTTTTCCGCTAATTGAAATGTCTTTAAATCCACATTAATATGAATTCAACACACTGTAGTAAACAGATCAACGGAGGCAGAAGATGTCTTTCAGTCATTAATGCACACATTCAGCGACACTAAGGAGCTCTTTCAAGCTGGGCACCGTTTCATTCACAACACCTGTCCCATCAACCAGGAATCAGAATCAGAAATACTTTAATAATCCCAGGGAGAAATTACTTTCGTTATATTACTCCACATGTAATAGAAAGACTATAGGACCAGTTTGATATAACACTATTTAATACAATAATATAATTAGGGGGTCCCCGCTCCATCTCGCCATCAGTTTCGGGCTCCTTAGCCTGGAAAAAGTTGAAGACCCCTGCTTTAATCCATCCCCCATGAAGATATGCCCCTTCTCTGCTCTAACTAACTAAGGAACATAATTAATGAGGAACCATGTGAGCTGCTATCCTGCTCCAAAGCATAACCTGAAAATACTCGCAGAGGCAAAGGCTGCGGCATCACATCCACCATAGAACCAACCATACAACACGCAACTGCCTTCATTAAAAACAAAAGTTTGAAAAAGAGCCAACACTTACAGTCTGACCTGCCTAAATCACACGTCCATGAGTCCTTTTGCCCCCCTGTGCTTCCTGAGCTACAGAGCTGCGTCTACACCTCTCACCATGTCCCATCAGTGGAACTATCATGTATCAGGGTCGGCTATTCATATCTCTGTCACCCCGGTGACGACTGTAAACGCGGTGGCCAGAATAGGCATCGCTAAAAGACGGATATCTTTCACTGTGACAGTTACTGTATGTGTTGGGACTTCCTAACTTCCAAATTCCTCATTAGTGAATTTATACAAAATATTAAAAAAAAATGAAATGACAGCAGTGGTTTATAATGGTATAGTTTTTAACCTGGAAATAGAAAAAAGAACACAAAAAACACACTGTGAAAAATGCTGTCATTAACAGTGGTGCAGCTTACCGTGTCCCCTGTACGATACGGTGTTGAGCCTTTGCCTCCTGCGATACTGAATCCAAGGCCCTTGTCATTCCGGATCAGGCAGGTGGAGAAAGTCTGCCGGGTGCCGCTGGGACTGCCCTCCAAGTTGAAGGCGAGGCCGCTGCTCCTTCTCTCCCGCGGGAAGTAGTCGTCCTCTGGCCTCAGCGGTGTGGTGGTGATGGCGTTCTCGGGCTCCACCATGCGCTCCCGCAGTACTGTCATGGAAACCGTCGCACCGGAGCTACGGAGAGCTTCAACTGCTGTGTGATGCTCTGCTTCATGAAGGTCTACGCCGTTCACCTGACAAACGGATGTGGGTAAAACTCAACAGGTCGAGAGAGAAACGTCTCTGATCTATTAGAATCATGCTCATTTGTACCTCTAGAAGCTTATCTCCCACTTTCACTCCTGCTCTTGCAGCAGGACCGTCCTCAGATACTCTGGAGATGAAGATTCCCTTAAAAAATAAAAGAAAGTATTCAAACCCTGCAGTCCACATTTCCTTGGTGCCATCCTCAGCCTGTCCAAATCCAGGTGGACTTTTCACCTCATCATCTCCCTTGTAAGGTGTAGATCCTTTTCCTCCTGCTATGCTGATACCAAGTCCACCAGATTGTCGCACAATGGTCAGAGAGTGCTGCAACGTTGATAAAACAAGTCAGGCACCGCATGAATGAACGAATACCAACTTCAAAAAAGGTCAGACCAGGTTTTGAGGGTGAAAATAATCTTGTTTGATAAATGAGCTTTTTACTGGTTTTGGTTTTATCCTTTATGATGATGACTGACCTTTAGTCTACCATCAGTAAGCACCTCAATAAAGACTCATTAAAATGAGATCCTAACTTTGGCAGAAAACCAATGCTATTTTTGACAAAAAGGCAGATTAATATACCTTTGTAATTTTTGAGCTATGAGAATATCCTTCAATAACAATGTCTTTTTCTTTTTTTCCCCCCAGATGCACGTAATGTGTAACAAAGGTGGTAGCATCATCTTCTAGGTCAAGCAGAAATGTAAATAAATTGAGAAAAATTAGTTACAAAGTGAAGAGTCCTGCATAAGGAAACCGTTTTGGACTTTTAACGCTTTTTAGACTCCAGGTAAACCCAGTAAAAAAATTAGTCTACTTGTCTGAAAAATAAATAAATATAAATGTTTGGGTTAGAGCAATATAACATTATTGTATAACTACAGATCTAAGCTAACTTTGTGCTGTACAAAGATTAAATGAACTCTTAATAAATACTTGCTACAGGATCACCTTAAAGCCAAGAGAGATTAGTTTGAACATTTTAAAATATGATTTACAAATGATTCTATAGACGCAACTGAATAAGGCATTTAAAAGATGAAGGACTGGGGGGATTTAGGTTTAGTTAGGAAACGTAAGTAAGTATCAGATATATAACGGGGGATTCTATTGATCTTCTTTACTAAATAAGCATTAATATGACAGTTTGGGAGTATTCACAGCCTGGTTGTAAAACAGAGAACTTTCAGCATAAAATGGTGACAGAATTTAAAAATGTAAAAGATTTTTCACAATAAAAAGTAACTTACTTTCCAATACAGAACATAAGGAGGATGCATCACAAAGAACATGCGTTCTACATTAAGCTATGTAACAAGTTAAGAGATTGTGTGACGGAAAATTATGCCTTTTTTGGCAACCATTACACGAGCGGCATGACATCTCAAATATTAAACTCATGCAAAGAGAGTGGATGGAAACTAGAGGAGGGAGGAAAGTGGAGTAAACATGCTATTCCCTGCATTTAAAGTCACAGCCATTTGTTATTTAGGAAGTTCTATAGTTGCACTTTAAATTGAACCTAAAGGATTTATCCATGCAAAGACATTTTCCTGCTTAAATTACCTTGAATTGAAAAAATTTAAATAATTTTGGAGAAAAATCACATTCTAGAAATGAGCAACATGGAGAGAAAAACAGAGAGCAAAGCTGCAGAGCGAGATGAGAGCAAGGAAACATGCAGTGTGCCACAACCTGAGCTTTGCACCATCAAAGTTAGAAAGAAAAGGAAGCTCTGGCAGCATTTTCATGGCAGGACAACATATAGCACAAACATAAACCCTTTAAAAAATCTTCACAGCATAACCCTGACCAAGGATTATACACTGGAAATTCTGTACAATCCTGTCTCATTTAAAAATCTAAATGATTCTATTAAAGGTGACTTAGAACTATTCAGATATATTTTCTATGCATTATCATTTATAGTTATGGAACAATCTTGTGTACCAAGTGCCTGCTTTGAAAGAGTTTTTTATAGTATGGAGAAACAAAGAATGACCATCTTAATTTTGCTTTTCCAAAGTTTTCAGAAAAATACATGGTTAGATATAAAAAAACACCTCATGTTGGGTGTTAGGTAAGAAAGACTTAAAGATGCTTTCTTCAGCCAGCTCTGTAAGAGCTTATTTTTGATAACATAAATCATAATTTGTCAAATGATATCAAAATGTTTGCCTTTCTTGTACTTTTCCAGTCTTAAGTAATTAGGAGTTCTGCCACACTTATGCTCCCGTTAAACATCTGTTAGGAATTTATTTGTGATTTTTGAGGGTATTTCTCTCCCCTTCCTGAACGTCTGTTAGCTTAGGTGGATGTATGATGCACACATGGGCACACAGGGTGGAAAATAATAGGTACAGACCTCTTCCTCCTCAATTCGAGCAGGTTCAATCAGCAGATTATTGACTTGATCAAATGACACCCCCTGTTAGGACAGGAACCAGCAAGAGGCATGCGGATTAGTCAGGCCAAAATTAATATATCCACTCATTCCCACACCCACGCGGTACACGCTCTCCATTAACATCACACGTTCCACATCACTATCTGCCTACTGAAGCAGAAGTGACTCCACTTTCGCTCCCCAGCCACCGAAAGCAAATACAGGCAGAGGTGGAAAGACAAGACCAAGGAGCTGAGCCAGAGTGCAAAACAAACACCAGTGTGCAGCGTGAGCAAAAACAAGAAAGCAGAAGAAGCACAAGCTACAAACTGTAAGATAAGGATTTACTTCCTAGATGGTAAAATCATAGAGGACTGGTTAAGCCATGATTTATAGATGGGAAAAAGAATATTTTTGTGCAATACACTAAAAATTTTACTTTTTTCATTGCTTAAGTCCTCAAAATTTAATTTGCTGTACTGGGTGCTAACATTTAATGTATAGATCTTGGTGATATTTAGGAACATAAAAAATAGAATTTAAAAGAAGTAAAATGTGACTAACAATCAAATTGACTGTATAGCCATTTATTGGCCACATTTTTCATTTTTTAGCTCCCCTGGTGAAGATTGGAAATAGTTTTTTATTGAAGCAGATTTTCATAAATAAACCAGCTCTGTTAGGAGCAAGACCAGGAATAAAAAAAATAAAAATACAACAACAACACACAAAAGACACCTGATGCATTTAGTTCAGTATAGAGTTGGATCTATGAAATTACACATCACAATGTAATTGTGATAAAGTATGTGGATAAATCTATGAAATATGAGGATGCATGTACTAAAACACACTGCACAGTGGTGCATTTGGAAGCCCTGTTGCCTTGCGGCAACAAGGTTTTGGGTTCCATTCCTGGCTAGGGGTCTTTCTGCATGTTTTGCCCGTGCATATCTGGGTTCTCCTCGGCTGGTCCAAAAATATGTCTGAATGTGTGTGAATGGTATGTCTGTGTGTCTCTGTGTTGCCCTATGACAGATTGGCGACCTGTCTAGGGTGTACTCCATGTAGCCCCACCGCAACCCTGTAAGCGGAAGAAGATAGAAAAACTAAAACTTGGTTGATTCTCGATAGTTTAAAAAAATAAAATAAAAAATGTTTTATATACGATGTGAAAAGCAAAAGGAACAATCCTTCTGGCACTGTTGGTTTTTTATAGACATGTTTCCTAATATTGTTTTTATTTTTTACACTAAAAAGATGTGTACAGCTTGAATAATTGATTTTTTTTTCTCCTAAACAGTGACTTTCCTCGCAGAATTGATGAGCTAATCGGTATTTTAAGAAAGCCCACATTTTTGACAAGTTAAATTTTTTCCTCAATAGTTGTCCCTAAACCAGCTTCTATATTAAATATGCTGCTGCCAAAAAAAAGGTACTTTATTCTAAAACGTGTTTTTTCTAATGCATCGATCTTACCAGGGGTATCCAATGTTAAAGTACACCGCAGTTTATTAAACTATTATCTTTAACGCCTTATAGTGGTACCAGTGTTTTGTTAATCTATCCCATAACTTATAACATTTAAAATACTTTAATTGAAATTCAAGCATAAAAAAACAAAAAATCTATTGAAATAAATGTACTTCTATAATGAGTTTTTATCGAATACGAGGCTCGTTAGATCTCATATTCCAGCTCTGCCAGTAAATGTTCTGTCTGGTCCAAGTTCAGCCACACAAACAGAACCACATTCATAACAACACACACAGAACAGATTTGGTGAGATGATCGTTGTGTTAAGCAGGATTTGAAAATAAATCAATACAAGTCATTGAGTCTCCCCAAATACTGCACATTTATTAAGGAATCAGCAGCAACTGATCAGACGTTTCTAGAATCAGTGGTGCACATAAGCACATGGGTGAAATGTTATGAAAAGCAGAGAGTGGAAACATTATCAGCAGATGATTTGCAGTGTGAAGTTTGGTTTTCGAATGAATCGGTGTTCTGCTGAAAAAGCAGATTTTGATAGCATGATTTACGTGTAGATAATATGCATAAACTGTGGTCTGAGGTTGTCTCTCATGTGAGGTTATGGTAATTTTCTCACAAATGTGTTTCACTACTGAGGGATGTTTAAAACTGATGGTGAGGATGAATGTTTTTCTAGTTTTTATACCGTCTCCCATAAATCCAGACTGCATGCTGCGAGAGCCTGAATCAGGTTTACCTTGACTTGGCTGGAGCTGCCCTGATGCCGGATGTCGTCCAGCTCTTCTATTCTGTGATGGTGCTGAGGGGTGCCTACAGCCAGCTCAGCCCCCTCCTGCTCCTCTTCTTGCTCATCCTCAGCAGGCTGTGTCGGGGAGTTGAGCCCATCAGGACTGAAGCCCTGCAGCAGTGCGGCCACGGCCTCGGGTTTGGGCAGCTTGTTGATTTTGAAGTGCTTCTTGTAGTGTGGTGTGTCCTTTCTGATCAGCCGCTGCTTCTCTTGGGGAAAAGCTGGCCTCTCGTCCTCTTCGTCGCTCCTCTCCCCATTCTCTCTGTCTTCTTCATCATCATCCTCATCTCCACCGCGGATAATTGGTTCTTCTGCAAAGTGCACGGTTGGCTTGGGAAAGAAAGTGATTCCATCTCAGAGATTTAAAAGCAAGAGTTGCTGTAGATTTCTGGCTAATAGTTTTAGTTATTTTTTATTATTCTTTACTAGTTTTTAATGGTGCCAATTAACACAGAGTCCAAGGGTCAATCTCAAGAAATATTAATACAACTGCAAAGTTAGTTTTATTCAAAGAACGCCGGCTACTGGCATTTCATCTCAAGGCACTCTAAACAGACACTTCAATCAGGGCATACAGTCAAGATTGGTGAAAAGTTTATTATCATAAAGAAAACCAACTGACTCCACAGACTCAATACAGTGGAAGCAATGAGATACTTAAGAGTTTGAGGGAGATTCAAAGATTGAGCCATGACTGAAACATGGATCTCAGAGGCATCTTATCAATGTTGAAAGGAAAAGGGACTGTGCTGTTGCTGAGTGGTTCCAGATCATCCTTTTGGATGAAAATAAATGACTGCATCCATAAATACTCTGCAGTAGATGCATTAAATAATGAGAAAGCCGTCTCAGTCAAACACACCGGTCATATACTGTACTATGGAATGAGTTTTTCAGAACTAAAAAAAAACACTTGGATTTGAAGTTTTCCTTCTCTTTAGGCCTCTGATCTCCAAAATCAATTTTGAATGGAAAACCAAAATAAATTTAGTTTTCCACGATATTAAGTTTCTTCTCATCTGCGAGGAGATCCAGTGAAGGCAGTAAATTGTAAAAAAAAAAAAAAAAAAAAAACATCTGCTAGCCCAGCCACAAAATGATCTACTGCCATATCTGTGATTATATGGTTAGTCTAATAAATCAAAAATGAAGTATTATGACTGGACAGGGAAAGACTGGAGAAAAAAACAACAACAAAAAACTGCATTTCTCTGATGAAGCCCCCTTCAGACCGACATGATGGCATCATTATATTTTGATGTGTCGCCTCTTATCCAAGGGAATATTTCATTAAAAATTCTTTGCAAAAACAAAAGTTTTGGGTTTATATTTTTGTTGAATGTAGAAGAGCAAGAATAAACAAAGGATGGGTCAAAACGCTCTCAAAAACAATCCAGGAAAAGTTTGATAGAAGGAGCAACACGTCACAGGATGGAAACGATAAATATCTCAGAGATTATGACATTAAATTTGGGATCCATGACCATAACAAGATGTGGTCAACTTTCAAAGGTAAGAGGATAGAAGAGACTGACCTGCAGCAAAGAAAAAAATTCTTACACTGTTTAACATTTTTTAACAGTCATTGTTTACCTCAATGTACTCCACCTCCATCTCATCCAGGTCTTCCTCCTCCTGAGGAGACTGGCCATCCACCATGTCCTCCCTCTGTGAGTTAGCAACTACATTGTGTTTGTCCTCGTGTGACGTGGCAGAGAGTGTGCTGTTGGACACCTGGGAGTCGTGGCTCTGATTTGAAACATCACTCAGTCGTTTCTCCTAAAAAGTGAGATTGCTTACAAAATGCCAGTTGATCCAGGCAACCCTGGACAAGTCATCAATTAAAAGTCTGATTTTTATCACCTGTGGGTCAAGGGACTCATCTTCTCCATCGGGTCTGGATGTGAAGACCTCATTCCTCCTGTCCTCAATGCCCTTCTTCATCACCTTCAGCTCACTGGGATGAGGGGTGGCTCTGCGCTGGAGACCCTGAGGAAAAAGAAAACTCCTTTGTGAAACCAGCTGACTAATAAATGTCTCATCATCAGCAAAAGACAGACTCTTTGATTTCTTTTATAGAAATGTACTAGCTGATCGCAAACAGCCCGATCAAGCAGGCGGAAAGGGAATCCCACTTTCTTTTAACTGATTCTGAATGCACCACAACTAAAGCCCCTGTCACACCTTGACGATTTAGAGCTGCCTGACATATGCCTGACATGCGGAAAACTATGAGTACGCTGAAGCACTCTGAAAAATGCTAGCACATGTCAACATCATCCTCAGTAAACAACAGCTAGGTTCATACCGCGATCAAAGAAATGTTTTTATCCAGGTCGGGGCGCCTCCAGGTGCATCGCTGCCCCACTCAGGACACTGGCTTGTGACATGCGTTATGCATAGGTTAGGCTGTCGCTGGACATAATACCAAACCGTCATACTAATAACAGTCTTGAATATAGAGGCTGCTACAAAAGATGTCATTTTTTAAACACAGAAACTACTAAGTTTGCTAAATGCTAAATGTGTTTGAAATGTCCAGCCTAATAAGAGCATCAGAATGACCTAATCTGTGGTCATCCAGATGTAAATAAGACTTGGAGTTAAAGGAAATTAATTAAACTAAAGCAGCTGTAAATCGGAACTTTTGAGCTTCCGATAATAAGTAAGACAAAGCTGGTAGAAAAACTAGAATCTGGTCAAATCAGTATAAGCACTTTAGAAGGTGTTTGTGAAAAAAAAATATCAGATGAACTAAAAGATTTCTCCTAAAAATATCTTAGTAATGATTTAACAGAAGATGAGAGCTGATGAAGGATGAGTAGGAAGGAGAATATTTTATCATAATGATGGAGGTGTAGCATTTACTCACTCTAAGCTCTGCTGCAGCTTCATCATCCTCCTCTTCAGCTTTGGTCTCCTCCTGGAACTGAATGACGGACACTCTGTTCAGATTGCTGTCCGTCCAGCTGTCGTCCACGCTGTTCTGCAGAAGGTTCTCTGTGGGGTAAGGAACGCAGCGATGATTAATTTCAATCAAATTAAACCACCCAAATATGCTATCAGAAGCAGCTCTATCTTAGCGGATAAACCTACAAAATCAAATCTGTGAATTATTGATCTTTACAGAGCATTCTTCTGAATATATGGTCTGTTCTTCTGAATAAATGGCTCACCAAGGCTTGGTGACGGCTGTTGGGGGAGCAAATAGCAGGTCAACACTTTCTCTCCCGTTCGCTCATCATCATCGGTCTGGAACTTGAGCATGGGCTGGGACTGGTTCTCTGCGAGCCACATGGCCTTTAGGTTGAGGTTTGTTAGGGCGAAAGGCAAGTTTTGTAGTCTGGACAACAAGGAAAGATGACATAAGTTCAAGCAGAACCTATTCCTTTAAGTGGGTGAAGAGAAAGAGCTCCATATGAGACTTCAATCTAGAAAGACTAAACTCTAACCCAAAGGTGAAAAACCTGAGCAGACATGATTCATTTAATGCTTTCAGTTTGTACTTTAACAAAAAATATTAACGTTAATGCAGGGAGGATACCCAAGCATTAAAAAAACAACAAAAACGCTTTTACGCTCAAACTTCTGATGTCGCATTCAACTTCAAGTGTAAATACAAAAACGTTTACTATGAATTTAGTTGGGAGTTTAAGCTAGCTAGCTCTTTAATGGCTAGACTTTTTAAATGTGCATCAACACTGAAATCACATTTCTCAGAACATTTTCACTGCTTTGACAGATAAACAATTTAATTATAGTTTAACAATTATATGTTAATTATATAGTTTCTTTAATCACAGTAACAAAATAATATCCGTATGATGCTGCTTCTTATGGAAAACTGGCTCTATTTAGGCACAGAACCTCTAGGTAAAGTTTGTGTTTTATTAACAGTGAAGGTGAGGCTACCTGTTTCCAGCTACATCTAGCACATGCAGCTCGGTGGCGTCTGCCAGCTCAGCGGGCAGTTTGCTCAGGCGGTTATCTCTCAACGAGAGGACGTTGAGGCTGGTGCAGCCGCCAAGTTCTTTGGGAACGCTGCCAAGCCGATTCCGGTCTACATTCAGGTTAGTCAGCTTCTTCAGCTTGCCCAGCGAGCGAGGAAGCGTCTGTGAGGGGAAACGAAGGAGATTCAAATCCTGTAAAAAGAAATGGCGCGCATGGACAGATTTACTTTATCGTAATAAAATAGTACCTGTAAAAGATTTTCTGTCAGAACAAGCTCTGTGAGGTTTTCACACTCTCCTAAAGAGTCCGTCAGCTGAGTCAATCGGTTCTGGTCCACTTTCAGGATGGACAACTGCTTTAAGGAACCTGGGAAAAGAACACAAAACGTTTAGAAATGTATCTGAGCCTTCAGACATACTAAATCATTGCTTACTACCACAAGTCAATCTTTCCATAGACTCCAATGAGCAGTCTTTATTTATACTTCAGGAAGGAAGGAAGGAAGGAGAAACGAACGGATGAATGGACTGGAATAAGGCCAAAATCCGTTTTTATATGATGGGTTCATTATCCAGACTGGAGAGGCAAATGTTTTCCCAAACTCAAATCTAGAAAAAAATACCTATATTCAACTTTTCCAGGTGGTGTTTAGGAGGGTATATGTCTGTGTCATCTTTAAAATAAGTCTATTTTCTCAGTTCTTCACTGACATCATTACTCCAGTAGAGGGCAGCAGCACCTTTATTAAACAAGAGTCTTAAGGCACACAAATGTTTTCCAAACCAACTTTATAGAAACTATAATTTTGCAGAGCAAAAAATAACAGTGTGCTGTACAAACACACAAGAGAGAGTGTCCTATTTTTTTTTTTAAACAAACCAAAGGGAAAGGAGTTTTCCACAGTACTGAACCAGTTAAAGCTTTTTTCACCTATACTGTTTGGAATGACTTCGAGCAGGTTCTGCGTGAGCAGCAGGTCGGTGAGAGCCAGGAGGCCGCTTAGCTCTGATGGAAGCTCCTCCAGGTGGTTCTCAGAGACATCCAGACACACCAGTCGCCGAAGGTTACCTAGCTCCTGTTTGCAGGAATTAAATGAACAGGTACGACTGTGTAATTAACTCAAAAGCATAGTCATTTACTTCATTACACAGTCAAAGGGAAACACGTCATGCAGGAGATGTGTTTATTCAAGAACTGCACTTACAGGTGGTAATGAAGACAACTGATTACGGTCCAACCACAGCTCTCTGAGGTTGGGGAGAGCGCCGAGCGTGTCCGGCTAAAACAAAACAGGATAAAGCACATCAGAAACAAAGAGCATTTTGAAAACACAACATAGGTTGCTATTTTTACTGCAAAGACATGGAAATCAGACTTCTGCACAATGCATGTTTACAGTTAGTGGAATCTGGCCCAATCAGAAAGCTGCAAACATGAAAAAAGACCAGTGGATAACTTCTGAGTCATAATTTCCATCATTTACTCTCTGCTATTATGTTATTCCTATTCATTTCTCTAAGGTCCATATTTGTGCAACCATTTTTTTTCTATAATCCTTTGATGATTTTCTCCAATCCATAATTTCCCCATTGTGGGACAATAAAGAGATTTTCTATTGTTTTCTATTTAGTGAGATATTTAAGAGCATGATCTCTTCAAAATAACCATGGATCTGTTATAAACTGAAACCAAACAAATAATCAGAATTGTAATTAGGGACTATTGCATAGTAGTTAGCATAAATTTCCAATTCTTTTGAAGTTACTGCCTTATTGTTTTTATCAAACATACCTGTTTAGGTATAGAGAAGTTGGCTCTATTTTGTACCCAAAATAAGGGATAAAGGTACAAAATACGTTGTAACACACAACTTCAAAGGACTTTAATTAAACAAGCTTGAATATATCATAGATTTCATATATTAATCACATATCACAAAAAATACATCCGACCCTCCCCCCACTAACAAATGTTTCTTAGCAGGTTGTACATTGACCACAGTTTTTGACAGAATAATCCAAGTCAAATATTTGCATCCTTGGTTGATTGAGGAGAGGAGAAAATGACAAGTTGTAAGTAAGTTTGGAAGAGTCCAGGTGAAAACATGTACCAGTGCAAACTAGAAGTGCAAACTACGTAGAAGTGTGGAGCAGGTTGGTAGGACCATCGTGTTGATGCTCTGTTTTACTGCCAGTAGTAACCATGCATAGCAATGAGTGGTTGATATACAGACATAAAGGATTTGGGACTACCTCAATACTCTTAAAGCTAGAAGGCTGAAACTTAGACACAGTTTATAGTTTCAGAGAGAATATTAACTAATACACACACAAAATGTGTCTGAATGAATAATTTAAAGCGTCTATGCAATAGAAAACAAATAAAGTCATGTAACCAATTCCGTTAATCAGAAGGTTTTATTGTTAGTCTACAATGAAGTAAAAACATTAGGCTGCATCATTTACAGCTCTAAATTACACTGTAATCCCCTGTCCTTCACAGTAAATCTAATGGAAAAATGTAAAACACTGGCTCCTGATTGGACACACAGTCAAGGTTTTGTTATGAAGTCACTGTTTGCTTAGTGTCGTCCCTGTGTCCCATCGGGAGGAATTGTTTACCCAGCGCTGTTCAGACAGGTGGGAGTTCCTGCACTTCTCTGCTGCTTCAGTGCTGAAAAAGCACCTATGCAACGCATGCTGAGGAAAATGAGTCTTTAGGATCATAACTATTTCAAAAGGAAGGAAGGACAGAACCCTAAAAGACAGGCAAGCGTCTTTAAGTGAGGACCTATGTGAAATTTAAGGGTTTTGTTTGGATATTGGGTGAGAAAATGAACTAACCAAAACTTCCAGTTCATTGCTGCCCAGGTCCAGCTGTTCCAGTTTCACCAGGAAAGAGAGTGACCTGCGCATAAGACAGACGAGAAGTTACGTCACCTGAATAAAGGAACAAAGGATACGGCTCCCCTTGTGGTAACAGCATACCATGTGATCTCTCATTCACAGAAGGCTTTGGATCTTACTCTACAGTATGTAGGTAAAGGCTAGAGATTTAATTGAAAAAGAAATCTGCATACTTGAGATTTTTTGAATGGCTATGAAGAAATCTGATCCAAAACATCAACAGAGATGACTTAGGTGTGTTTTTCATAGTGACTGTAAACAATGGCAAAACATGTATACTTAAATGTAAACAGTGAGCAGATTTGACACTTACGTAGGTAGAGACTTCAACCGGTTCTCCCTGAGCTCTAAGGTCACCAAATTGCCCAGACTGTTAAAGGAGAAAGAGAAAAGGAGGCAGAGGAGTTGGCATAAGAGGAAGGAGATGCATGTTGATTGGACAAACGGCAGGTCTGGTCATCAGGGCTGCCTGGCCACTCAGAGGCTCATCCACCATCAATCTCTCAATATACTAATTGGTCTACCTTCCAGGTGGCAGCTTGGTTTGAGCAGTGTCAGATTTTTGAAGAGGCCTTGCCAAATTATTTAAACCCATTGAACTTTTGGAATGTCACATTACAACCATTAAACGTCATTGTAATTTTGCTGCGGTGTGACATACCGTAACAAAATGGTGCATAAGTTTGAAATGAAAGGAAATTAGCTTTAGAAGTCACCTAGTTGGTTGTTAAGAGAGGGTGTAACCTCCGTATGAATGCAGCTGCTCTTTGAGGGCCTTAAAGTTTTATTAGAAAAGTTATTGAACATACTGCATCACGAAAACCAAGCATCTGAAAATAGTATGGAACAGTTTCATACCTACAAATACCCACTATCCATCAATAAAGTCAAGATCTCAGAATGGTAGAGCTACTGAAAAGATAACTATTAGTTGTGGCTTCCAAAAATCTGGTCTTTATGGAGGAGTAGCACGATTAAAGCCACTGTTGAAGGCATCCCATAATATGTATATTTTGAAACAAGCCATGAAGAAAGTGGGATAATCACTCGTCACTTTAACAGAGCAATAAAGATATGACAGGATTATGGTTTGGGAAGATTTTCTAGAGCAGATGGACAAGAGACTGGACTGAAGGATCACTTTCAAGCCGAACAATGGCCTTAAACATGAAGACTGGATTACAGTGGGATGGTCTAGATTAAAGCTAATTCAAGTGTGCCCGACGCAGAGTCAGGATTTTTTTGAGGTGCGCAACGACTGTTGCAGAACCTCTGCGCGGGAGGCGTGGTCGCACAGAGACAGATTTGACGGTTGCAGAGGCTATGCGTCAGAAGCATAAATTGGTCTTTATGCTGACCTAGTCAAAAATCAGACTTAAAATCAAATGAGGGGCAAAAGTAGAAATGAGAATGGAATCCTCCCTAATGATCTCCATCTAATTTTATGTTGTTTGAGACGTAAAGCCTTACAAAAAACTTAGTTTTACTTAAAGTGAAATGTGGTGCCAAAAAGTATCAACTAAGAGGAGAAATTCATATGATGCAGTTTTAATGGGGCTGGAACTTTAATTTGTTAATTTTGATTAATTAATAAAGATTTAAAAGCATTAAAATAACTAATAATTATGCAATAAATCCAATTCTTTTTATACCTTTTTAATTCTTGTTTCTTTTACACCTGTGAATCTGGAGCACAAACGTCAGTCCAGTCCCCTAGTGGCATTCAAGCTTTAAAGCCATTTCACTGTAACTTGTTGCGGTAAACACAGATGTTGATATCGCTAACATCAGCATCCACAGTGCGGCAGAAATTCTCCAGCTAGATTCTCCAGAGCTTCAGAGCCAACATCAGTAAGTGCAGGTCTGAAAAAGTAAACAACTCCCTGGTAAAAACGGGCTGGAACATGGATTGTTAGTGTTAGTAACTGACTTGAGGTTAAAAAGTAGCCTCAGTTGTTTATATGTTGGAAATTGAACTTTATCTTCTGTTAACAGCAAATGTTAAACTCTCACTCAACATTTAGGAATTGTGCTTAGATTAATGGTAATGTACTGTTCACAGTTCTATTGAAGCTGTTAGAAGTTGCATAAAATATTCAAGGCTTTCAATTAAAGCTAAATGATTGAAACTTTTAACCAATCTGAAGCTTATTCATTCAATAATCTAGGAACAAAGGTATTTTTAAGGTTGATTTATTCTGTCAGTATATGGTTTTCAATTAATTGTGATTATTTACAGCCCCTAAAGTCTGTTGTTATAATGTGATAGAGTATGGGAAAACTGTGAAAACTTTGGTGAAGCGCTACAAATAGCCTTATTATCACTAAGGGTCGAAGACTATTTATTTTAGATGATAGGCAACAAACCCAATAAAAAAAACGAAACGAAAAAAAACAAACAACAGAATTATTAAACAACTTTTACCTGTTAATACTTTTTCAGTGAAAACAAATGAAACTTTGTTAATATTTGCAACAATGAGCCATATACATACTTTCCAATGTCATTGGGTAATGTCTGTAATGTCACATCGTTGAGTGAAAGATGGGCCAGTGTTCGCAGCTCAGTGAAGCCATCTGGCAATCTGAGAAAAAAGAGACAATCAATCAAAGAGACAGATAAAAACAGTACACAAGAGAATACCTCTCTATTAAAGCAACATATAGCAGCATAAAAGTCAACTAAAATGAAGCCTATAATTAAACCGGGAAGCACTCGGAATGAGCAGGAACCCACCAAGTAGCATTGTCGCATTGTCTCCTATCCAATAAAGTTAAGGATTGATTTAAGATATCCAGATCATCACCAAACTTTAGCGGGTTGTAAATGGGGCAAAGACACGCCTACAGTAAAAACTGAGGAGGAGTCCTTCTTTATATTATTGATTTACCAATACACCGGTTCTAGATGTGAACAGGACAGATATGCCTATCTGTCGGGCCTTGTTACATCCCCAAGATGGATGTAATTTTTTTTTTGCACCCAAGTATCACCTTGCTCTGTTTTAGGTTCCGCCTCTAATGCTACGTTCAGACCGGACGCTGCAAAAGCAGCAAAATCGCGTCTGCTGCTTCATTTTTGCTGCTTGTACCAGTGAGTTCTGATGCGCGGCTGAAGCAGCTTTGCTGCTCTGGCTGCGCGGTGCAAAAGTG